ACCAAGAAGTGGAATCCCACCTGAACTAAGGCCACCACCCCCTTTTGCAGAGCTCCACCCTCTAGCACAAGTCACCTCATGTCCCTCAGAGAACCATCTCCAGCCCTGGTTCCCTTTTGTCAATGCACCAGCTATTGCTCCACAGAGATATCTCTGGAGAAAGTTTTTTTCTTTGTCTTTGGTCAATGATCCTCTGTCCCTCTCTGGAAGACTGACTCCAGTGGCCTTTTATTTTCAATTATTCCATCCTAACCCCAGGGGATCCTAGGAGGACCTGCCCCCATATACATATCTACCAATCACACCACCTTTCTCCTGATTCAAGACGCTCCTGAAATCTTCCCTTTTTCTGATACCTTGCTGGAATGATCAGTAAGGAGATGAAGAACTCCCTCCTGACCTGGAAATACTTATCGAAATGAAGCAGGAAATTCCAACAGTTTCTGTCTCCATTATCTCAAGAATAATTAAACTGTTTAATTCATTGTTAAAAAGGTTGCCTGCCATAAATGCTAATATAGTGAGTGCTATTGAGCTTTTTACAAGCACAAGACATGTTCTAAGTACTTTACATGAATTAACTTAATTAATCCTCCTAACAATGCTACTGGATAGGTGCTATATTTTCCCTATTTTACAGGTGGAAAAACTGAGGCACAAAATTAAGTAATTGGTTCAAGGCCACAGCCAGTTAGTAGGAGAGTGGAGAATTGAACACAGGGCATGCTTTGTCAGAGTCGGTGCTCCTGACCAGTCTGCTATAGCGCTTATCACAGCATTCTTGCTATGAGAAAAACCAAGGTAAAAGAGAAAAGGCGTAGACTGGGCTTTTATCATGAGTCAAGTGGGGCTTTCAGATCTGTAGATAACTCTACTTGTGTGCATGTGGTGTATTCCGTGGATCACTATTAACTTACCTAGGTTTCCTGTCTTACAAGACGGATGATTTCTGGCTGACTGTTGAGTATTATATCACATGCAGATGGATACAGTTGGTGGAAACCACAAATAATTAATATATTAATGAATTAAAACTGGTTTTAGCTTATCCTATATTAATTCCTGTGCATATCATAAATACAAAGGTAATAAAAATAGCTCACATTTATTGAGCACTTCCCATGTTTTCCTATTCTGATAAGCACTATACATTATCCCATGGAAACCTCATAACATGCATTTGAGATTGGTACATATATTGTCCCATCTTATGGATGAAAGTGGAGTCTTGAGGAGACATAGTAACATGTTCAATGTCATACACTTAGAATAACTGGAGCCAGGGCCTGAACTTGGCTCCAGAGTCTTGGGTCACAAACACAGAAATGGGAAAAACAGGTGAATTCAGGTATAATGATGTACGTATGTGGGACTCAGAGAACGGAGCAGCTAATGCTTCTGAAAGAAACAGGAAAGCTTTGTGACGTTACGTGTGGTTACATGTGGTCTGAGTTGGGTCACAGTGGAATCATCGGAATTTTCTGGGTAAAAAATAGTTTAAGGGAGAGCATTGTGAGTAAAGGGGAAGTAAGTGCAAAGGCCCAGATCATAAAAGAAAAAGACTTGGCCTCTCTGGGGAAGTGAGGAAATCCAATTTGGCAGGAATATTTAATCTCTGGAGAGTGGCTGAAGATGTCGCTAGTGAGGGTCTGGAACAAGACTGTGAAACATTTCTATGCCTAGATTAAGAACTTGAATTTTATTAAAAAATGAAATGGACATTCACAAAGGAGAAAGGCACACTAATTTTTAAAGATAGGTCTAGAAGCAGCGTGAGAATGGGTTGGAAGGTGCAGGGGAGTGTGGATAGAGCCAGCCTCACCCATGTGGTGGTGAATAACAGTGCCCTGGCGGGGGAGCTGTCACAGGGCCACCATTAACCTATAGTGTTTTCTTGCAAAGTAGAAAAATGCTGCCCTTCCTCCAGATAGTTCAGCTTCAAGCCAGGGCACATGCTTGACTTGGCATACAGAGCACAGGCTTGGTTTTGCCCCCCACTGGTCCCCTTGGTTGGGCAGCTGTGTGCACTGCAGACGCAGCACTCCTTAGGCATCACATGAGCTGAAGCTTTCCCTAGGCACACGGACGGAGAGATGCAGTGCAGGGGACAAAGGGGAGATGTGTGCATGGCACAGCTACCCATCTATAAAAGGACAGCTCTAGAGTATGATGGGCAGGGGCAGGCACTTTGATAAACTGATAAACATGGCTTCTTGGCACTGGGCAAGCCATCTAATTTCTTTCAGCCTCAAATTCCTCATCTGTTAAATGGAGACAGTAAAAGTACCTACCTCACTGGGTGGTTGTGAGAATTACAGGAGATAATGCATGCAAAGCACTTTAGTAAGCGTATAGTACACACTCAACCCACATTAGTTATTATTTCTACCACTAATACTGATAAATGAGATAGCATATCAAAGTATGGAAAAGGGTATTGGCTGTGCATGCTCTTAAGTTGACCCTCTTCTCCCCCTAAATTCTCTCCACCCCAAACATCAGTAAGAACACTGGCAGCCAGAGACAGCAGTGAGGAGAGATGGATAAATCACAGCATCACAGAGGTTGGCTCTGCCTACTCACCTCATCATAGTGGTCTGGTGACATGTGTTCATGGGGCAGGGCCACTGGAGGGAGCCCCCCCAAAAGGCATTCCTATGGGAAGCGGGTATTCCCTCCAGAGTTCCCCACTCCCACCCAGTCTCATTTCCCTCCTTACCCATTCCTCTCTCCTCAGTCGGCCCTTCCTTTACCATTCCATCCCATCATACACTGCCCCTCCTCTTCCCCTCTCCCTCAAGAGGAAGGTTGTTTTGCCCAGTACTTTTGCCCTTGTTCTCTGGAAGTTTCCAGGCAGCGGTAGAAGTGAGGGGAAGGCCATTTGGGTAGAGAAATATTCAGCACAGGCAGCCTTGTCTGCTGGGCCAGCTGGGGCTATGCTTTCTGGGGAGCAGCAATGGCCTGGCAAGTTGTTGAGTGGCTGCAGGCAGAGAGAAGAAGGCGAAGGGACAGCAGGAAGACATGTGGTTCTGGGTCTGTTTGGGGAAAGACCAAGCTCGGGGTAAAGGATAGGTTGGGGCCAGCTGCGGAAAGGTGAGTGACCTGCACAGACTGTTTTGGTAGCATGAGCACTCAGAACATTTTAACAGGATGAGAAAAGAAAAGGCAGTGCCAGTAGCAACAACTGTAGAAGCTGGTCCAGCAGGCCTAAGTCTCTGGGCCAAGGGTACCAATGTATCTCCTCAGAGAGGCTTTCTCCAACAGCCCTCCTAAAATGCTACCCAGCACCAGCATGTCCAGCCCCCATTCTCTATTCTTTACCCTGCTTTATTTTTCTTCATAGCATTTAACATTATCTAAAATTAATTTTTTTTTGCTTCAGTGTACTGCTTTTCTCCAGTAGACTTTGTCTCATGTGTTACTCTATTTTTAGCATTTAGAACAATGCCTGGCACACAGTGGGTCCTCAATAAACAACGGTTGAATGTAAGAATGAATGCTCACCGTCATCATTCAAAGAAGAATTGAGACCTCACAGATGAGACCTCACGTCATTCAAAGAATAATCACTGTGTCTGCGCTACACTCAGGAGATATGTCAGTCACCCTCTGGTCTAGCAGACTACCACCATGCTTGTCTCTCTTGGAGGGTGCTCAGCAGCTTTGGATTTGAAATGACTTTGTGAAGATCCTCTCCTGGAATCACATGGACTGTGTAGCTAGGAAGGGATGCTGCCCTTTGTCCAAATTCCAAAGCAAAGGCCTTTTGTCTAGGGGAGTGTATCAATAGGTTTCTCCTACAGGTGAATGGGAGGACTGTGTTGGTCAGTTGGAAGTTGGGCCCCTAAACTGGGAAAGAGAGGCACTTGGAAGGTTTCCAGAGGTTAGAAGTTGACTTCATACCCTTGGCACAGGAGCAGGGCTAATTATTCTCTTGTATAATAGAGAGGTGCTATAAGAACTAGGAGTAGTTATCCCTCCACACTGCCTAGAGGTGAGAAGGCCTACAGGCGCTCATGTGTTTTGCAGGTCACAAAGTAACCAGCCATTGCTCTAGTGACCAGGACATTGTCCAGATACAAGGCAATGGAAGGTGCTGTTCTTTTTCACACACTAGGAAGTACTTTCCTACTACACATTTTCATGTAAGGGAGAGGATGAGGTCCTACCTAGTAGGTATCTGTGAAGCTGACAACAAGACACCTGGGTGAAAAGTGAAGAATACCAGCAATCCCACAGACATTTTATATGCATAAGGCCTAACATCCATCTAACTGCATCTACTCTGAAACTTGATGTGATATAGACTCACAGTTCATAATATTCTATATATGCATATGTACATATAGTTTTTAAGTCATTTATGTCTTCTGTTTGTAAGCAATATATTTCGCATTTTTATACTAGCCACAGGTTTTTGCAGATGTCATTCTTCGTATCTCAAGGTTGGTCCAGGGCTCAATTTTTTTTTATTGTTTGCAGGTGCCCTGTCTTGAATCTGTGTGTTGATTAGATGTTTGAGTATTGCAACAGTAATAGACACCTTGTTCTTAATAAGTGCCATGAGGATTGAGAGTCATCGTATCAGGGATCTTCTTCTCACTGCCATTAAATAGCTATGTGTCTTAGTGCAGGTCACTCCTTGGGCCTCAGTTTCCCAACTCTAATTTGAAGAGGCTGGGTTAGAGAGTTACTAAGTTTTCTTTTAGAGGCAAAGAATCCACAATTCAAGTAATATTTTATATAAACACTATACTTATTTTCCTCATTGAGAGTAGAATGATCTATGTCACCATCATATGTAGGGCATCTATTTATGGGACTGATCCACGTCCAAATTTGAGCATCAAATATTTCACTACATAAATATGTTGATGTTAAGATTTTGTTGTGTTTACCAGTTTCTTTCTAAGGAATTGAGTCCATTAAGATATTTCATGCTCGGCTAACATGTCCATTATTTTTAGACAGTGTGGTTAAAATAAAAGAGAGGACTGTAGTTGATACCTTTATTTATATGCAAAACAGCGCACCATTCATGAGATATGAAAAACTCGTCAGATAGAAACCAGATTATATCTATTTTCACTACAAAATATTGCATTATATAAAGCAACAGAGACACAAAAAAACCCTGAAAAAGACTAAAATCTTTGGATAGCAGATGTGGTTTTTTTTCCCTTGTCTCTAAAATACACTCCTTGTTTTAAGAGTTTCACAGCAGAGAACATGAAACATTTTCAGGTTATAGACTTTTCTTTTTGGTGTCACAGAGGAAAGTAGTTCTGAATTATTTTTTCTTTTTTTTTTTTAGGAAAATAACTTAATTTCCTAAATTCATCACACGCACAAACATCACACACACAAAGAAGCTACTCTCCTTATAAACAGCTTGTAAAGGACTTCTCAGACATAACTACAGATAAGAATAACACACTTTTTAAAAAACTATAATAGTGAAGTGCTAGTGTTGCTGATCTCACAACAAAAGAACCTTTCAAGAACAAACATCTTAATATATAAAATATGTTTAGAAACAGGGAGAAGTGGGAAATTTGTTATACAAGTGCAATATAATTAGAGCAGAAAGAAAGACCACAGTATAATCTCAACAAACACATAAAAAGTTAGACATAATTATTCCACAGGAAAAAGTGTAAACACTTGACTATAAATAAATTGGCACAGAGTATCCAAAGTAAAAGTATCACCACTCTGAAAAATAAATGTCTTGAAAAAAATACTCTACTCCTTCTAACATAAATAAAAATAGGTTGTCTTTTTCTAACTGCACCTATGGGTCAACATGTTTAAGGTCACAAATAGATGTTTTTGGATATATAAAGGGGCACTTCGCCTGCAAAAGCAATCAGATATTAAATTTTCCATTTAAATATGGATTTTCCTGTCTACCTTGGTGTCATATCTTGGAGATAAAATCTCACCAAGCTCAAATCCTCCCACAGTGTGTCTAATTGTTTTCAATTTGTTAAACCTTACTAAATATTCAGGGTTTTTTTTTTTTAACCTTACTAAATATTCAGGGTTTATTTGGATTCTAATATAATCTTTATTTTCACAACAGAAAGGAAAGTTTCCTGTCGCACCTTTCTGTGCCTTCCATCTCTATGGGCGAGATCTCTCCTCTCTCCTCCTCCCCAGTGTTTGGTGATTTGTCCATTAGAAAAATTCCAGATAGCCTAAAGTTATGAGCCTGCATACTCTCAACTTCTGCCCTCATTCTTTCAACACATTAAGATTTGTGGCGGATGAACGTAGGAGAACTCAAAGTCTCCAGTGGGTTAAAGCAACAACCCTTGGGGAGCCCCAGAGGTGGCTCATCTCGAGTGTCTCCACGAGGTTCTCCTAGCCTGAAAAATCCCCCCTGCGAGCCCCCGGGCTCGCCAGACAACCCCACCTGCCTGCGTCGGAAACCTTCTCTCGTTGCCCTGCTGACCAGAGAGAACAGGTAGCGAGCTTCTTCCCCGGCCCGAGTCTCTCGAGGTGGCCGTCTCGCTGGACCACCGCAGCCTCCGCCACCCCAGCGGCGGCCACCCGGATCCGTCGCGTTTCGCGGACACCGGGACAGGCGGCCCCCTGCGGCGCACCCCGCCCTACACGTCCAGGACATGGTTGAGATAGGAGATGTAGCAGATGGCCAGGCGCAGGATCTCGATCTTGGAGAGCTTCTTGTCCGGGGGCAGCGTGGGCAGCAATTTGCGGAGCTCGGCGAAGGCCAAGTTGAAGGCTTCCACGCGGATGCGCTCGCGGGTGGCGTGGGCCGAGCGGTACTTGGCGGTGGCGCGCCGGCGGCGGCGCTTCTCCTCGCGGCTCAGCTGCTGCGGGTGCGGGTAGAGCGCGGCCCGGCTGCCGCCCTTGCCGTCGCCCTCGGCCTCCTCCACCGGCTCCAGGTCCGACACGCTGCCCAGCACTTTGGTGTCCGTGCCGCCCAGGGACTCCGGATCCGAGTGCGCCGAGCTGGGATGGTCCGAATCTGCGGCTTGGTCCGGACTTAGCATCATTTTGGAGGCTGAGGAGGGATCGAAAAATTAATCAGTAAAAGAAATCAGAGTCTTCTGCTGGAAGGATGGCGGCCGAGGCCTACCACACCAGCCCTCCCAGCGGACGCGCGGCCCCGGCCCCCTCCCCACAGCAGGCCGGCGCGCGACGCTGGAGGGCGCCGAAAGGATCTGGCCCGAGGGCGCGAGCCCCGCGCGTCCCCATGGCGCGGGAGCCCGTGGGGACGCGGTTGACCCAGGCCGCATTCTGGACCCGACACCTCGACTTGCCGACGGCCACGGCGGGCCTGTGGCCCGGGGCCTGGGGGACGACCGCAGGCCTATAGGGTCGCGACTGGGTTTTTGTGCGTCTTCCGGCCAAATGCCAACCGCGCTATTCCGTCTCCCTCCCTTCGTCCCCTTCCCAGACAAACGAGTGATTCCGAACAACGAATACATCTGGGTTTTCATGGGGGCGGTGTGACGCGGAGTGCGCTTCTCGCCCCGAGGGCCTCTGGCGAAGCAACCGGGCAGCCGCGGCGCCCGAGGGCCTGGCGCTGGTCTGGGGCTGCGCCGGGGGTGCCCGGCGCTGGGATGCGGGCTGTCAGGAACCTCCATCCCGGAGCGCAAGCAGAGAGCCAGCGGCCGGGGGCGGGAAGCCTTCTTGGACCCCTCGCGCTTCTCCGAAATCATAAAGAAATGACTAAACAAACGTGGCGGAGCCTTTCAAAAGAAAATTGACTCCGATGGCCTTGCAGGCTCCTGGAGCACCATCTGTCACGCAGACAGCCACACACATAGGGGACCTAGGGACACGGCGACGTGGGATCAGACAATGCGCCCGGCAGTCTGGCGACCACCTTGCGGGAAAATGCCGGCAGCCGGGCTGCTGAGGGAGGAGAGGATGCAGAGGAAAGGGAAGAGAAGGGAAGGGTCCGGGGCGGGCGGGGACGAGCGGGTGCCGAGCGTGTTGTCCGGATGGGAGCTGCATCTCTGCCGGCAAAGTTCGGGCGCTCCCGGAACCGGAGCTCGGTAGCCCGCAGCTGTCGCCGGGTGGCCTGGCCAAGTCCGGGCATGTCGGTGCTTAGCCTTCCTCTAACTGTGCCCTCTTGGAAACGCCACTTGGCCAGGCTTCTCCGGGGCGCCTGGAGCATCGGCCCCGACTGCGCGCCTTCTGGGAGGGGGCCACTCGGAACCGCTGGGCTTCGGGGGAATTCGGGCTTCAAGAAGGGGCGCGGTAGGAGGAGAAAGGCCCCTGCGGGGGCTGCACGCACCGCCCCCCGAGCGTCGAGAGTGAGGACCCGGCTGCGAACTCGGGGCCCTGGCGTGGGCAGCCACAGCGACGCTCGGCGCGGGGGAAATCGCGTCGGCGACATATAGGAGCGTTTGCTTCTAGAGAAACAAAAGCAAGGGGATGCGTGATCGGTTCCCAGCACCTCACTTGCTGAGGAGCGAATTGGGCCAAAACAGCTTTAATTTCCCTGAGAGGAAATCAGGTCCTCTACGGCAAAATAAAAACAAATGATCCCAGTGAACTGCCTGTGACTCCCTACGGGCTTTTCTCGGGTACGTTTATGAGTAGAACAACTTGCATCTACACAGTCAGCTTGAAAGGGCAGAAATAAATAGACGAGTAATGGAAAATCACAATAAGCACTAAATAGTTGTAGTTCTGGTAAAAAGTTCCTGGGTTGCCCTCAAAGCATGTTAAATTCTCCTCCAGATCTTTAAAAATATTCATAAATAGTATGTCGTGTATGCGCTTTATCTCTTTAACTATGGAATGACCTGCATCTATAAGTGCAGTATGAATAATCTAACTTATTTCAAGCTGAAAAAAATTATTTAAAGGAGTCTTACCTTGCAAAAGCCTTTTTGATAATCTGTTCTCCAATCTTTAGAGTTAAAATGCCAGGGAATCGCGAGGGGAGATTCCAAAAAATATTAAAAGCAGCAAATATTTATTACATTCAAAAATGAAAAAGCAGCTGTCATCTCGCTGGTGTCCGCAGCGAGGGACGATAATATCTCAGGATGTAGACGATATGAATGATTGTTCACTTAGTTGATAGATTTTTTTAAAAACGCGTTTTCCTTTTAATTGTTCTCAAACATTTCAAGAAATTCGTTGTTGATTTTTTTAAACGATGTGTTGAAAAGTCTCGTGCCTTTTTTCCTCTTCTAGGTCTCTAAAAATAACAAAAGAGATACAGAGATAAACACAATCACATCGAAGGGCTGATTCCTCCACTTTCTAATAGCGCGAATAATCAATAAGAAAGATGGTTAAGATAAGATTCCTCTCCTATCGGACGCCTTTCCTTCCCTTAATACGGCTGAGCAGAAACTGGGAAGTGCAGAACAGAGATGTGATCTTGCTCAGAAGTGATTTTTTTTTTTTTTTTTTTTTTTTTTGAGATAAGGCTTTGTTCAGTTGATATCTCCCCAGTTCCCAGGAACACAATACTGTAACTCGGAGCTAAGGTTGCCTCTTCCTCTTCCCTCATTTATTTGTATGTTGTATAAATAGACACCTATTTTCCAGTTTCAAAGTCTTTCCAGGTTTGGTTGTATCCCCCATCCCCACCCCCTCCTCTCTTTACCTTGTAGCAAAATATATATAGTCAGTGGCTTGGAGATGCTTGGAGAAAGGTTGGTGAAAAGTAAACGTCTCCTGGAGTAACAGTGACAAGGAAGCAGAGAAAGACGGGAAGAGGGTGGGAGAGCCAGGGCAAAGAGGCAGAGATGCGTGTGTGGCTTCTGGGCTCTCCTGGTACCAATTGATTCAGCCTGGAGATGGTGGAAGAGATAAAGGCTTAGGAAGGGGGATGGAATTTTTTCCCCCTAAATTGATATTTAATGGGAAATCCTATTGGACAGAAACCTGGACATGAGTCACTTAATTGGACTTGACATCTGTCACAGTGTGGGAGTTTTCACAGCCCAAATATTTTAGCAGATCAGATTCCCACTGAATCTGTGCCATAAAATATAACAGTTGAAAGCAGTTCATGATAGAAATCTTAGCCTCTAAACAGTCTCTAGCCATAGTCAGGCTATTTCTCTTTTCCAGATTATTGATGAAATATTTAAGTGCAAATAAACAATATATTGACTATGAAAAAATTCCCCTGGCATATTACAAAGCCATCACTTTCCCTTAATATTTAGAAAAATATTTGCATCCAGAACAAGGAAATATATACTATATAAGATGCTGCAATAAACATAAAGTATTTAGACATGCAACAGCTAACATTTATTAGAGATCATTTACATTTTAAAAAATACTTCAGTAAGGTTTGATTAAGCATATTAATATTTTTGAAAAATGATCTGCTATAGACTAACTTATCAATAGATGGTAAGAAGCTTTCAATAGATTAAGCCATTGGTGGAACTAGAAAGAGAATCCACAAATTCAAGGACCACGAATGTGAGATCATTCTACTTTTCTGTACATGTTTGTTTTTCTCTCCACCCACTTATTCTTTCAAGCTGAAATATGACATGCTACATGTGTTGATTATTGCACTTCATTCTTGCCCATCTTAACGTGCTAATATTTTAACTGCGTGGCAGTGCTTGTGCTAAGGTGTAAACACAAATTACCAGCGTATTCCAGTACATAATGCCTTTTCCTTACATGATCCCATGGCCCTGAATTTATATACTTTATAATAAAAAATAAAATCTAGTTCAATTATTTTGCCATTTTATAAAGATACTCATAGTTAATATCAACTACATATTATTTGTGATTATTTTGGCTTGTTTTGATCATACAAGCTTAAAGAAATAAAGAGCGTTATAGCCTTACTCCCACCTCCCCAGTTCCTAGGGGAACATTTGTGGAGAGAGGAGTCCTCACTTGCCTTCCTTAATTTTGCCCTAAAAGCAGATTTTATCACCAGGGGAGGCATGTGGAGCAGCCCACCCCTGGGAGTGACCCTCCGGGTTTTTCATGGCTTCCACAAGTACTACCTGCCTTTGCCCACATTTTTGCTCCTTTGAGAGATTCCTGGACCAGAATGGGGCAGGGGTGGGGGAAAGGAGGGAGTGCCTCCACCAAATAAGGGCACCAACACTTCCCAGCCTTGCTTCTGCCTAACCCCAGCACAGAGATGTGTTTTAGATATCCCCAGAACGTTAAAGTGAAGACAGAAGCCGGCCCCATACAGGTGGCAATGGAAACAGGTGAGTGGATAAACACCCCAAGGTGGTGACAACGAAGGGAGAAGGGAGGTTTCCTCACTCTAATTAGGAACAGCCAATGCTAAGCATTCACACACAACCAGAAGTGTGCACACAGATGCACACCCACAGATACCTGTACCTCCTCCCTCTTTCCCCCACCCTTACTCATACAAGCTGGCTGGCTCTATTAGACCACCACACACCCAGACTGATGGATTGAAAAAACTTGTGAGTCTAATCACCATAGCTCTAGAGTGGGCAGCTGCTACAGTGGGAAAGGACCAGCATCTCTGGTTCCCCTGGTGTTGGGGTGTCAGGATGGGGTGTGCATATCAGGGCAGGTCCAATTCTGCTATGGTGTGTGTGATACCAGGCAAATTCTCTTTTATATTCAGGCTTACTCATTCTACACCAGCAGCCAGCATACACAAAAATTAATACTTATAGGAGTAAGCCTATATAAACAGGTACACACTCAGATCCATACTTCATTATGCCCAGCCACACTGTCATAGACACAAACATGGATTCACATTCACACCCATGCATTCTTTCTTCCAGGAAAGCCTCCCCCTCCCCCATCCCTTTGCCTTTTCTAAGACCTCCCTGGCACAGATGGCCCCTCCTTCTGTGCTCCATAAACACTCCTTTCATGTCTCCCTTAGAGACTACATATTGTGTACCGTGATTCTTGGTTCTTGGTTACCACACTGGTCTCTCCCTAGGCTATGATGCTTCCAGGGGAGGTCTGTAGTTTATATCCCCAGCACTAGTGTCTGAGCTTGACACGTTATAGGTACTCAGTTCATTCATGCTGTGACTCCTTATGTACAGAGGTACCCTGGATATTTGTAACATGGAAACTCTTCCACCAAAGGACACCCATGGTTCAGTTCTATCAGTTTGCTTTCTTATAAAAATGAGAATAATAATACTTCACTTCTCATTTCACAGGCTTGCTATGAGACCCAATGTATTTGAAAATATTTCATAAAATACTAAGCACCATACAAATTATGATACTATAGACTATAAGAGTAATATTAAATAATATTATTAAATGAATGGGGAGGTGATAAGTAGTGGCTTAAAAAGTCAGACTTTGTGGCTCTGTCGTATGCTACCTGTGTGAATTTAGTTTTAAGTTACTTAAACTTTTTGGACCTTAGTTTTCTAATCTGTAAAATGGGAATAATCAAAGTATGCTATGTAATGTTGTTACGTCGTGTTTTTTTTTTTTCTGAAGGTGAACAAGATAATCTATGTAAAGTGCTTAAACTAATGCCTAGAACTGATGTTCAGTAAGTATTGGCTATCATTATTATTGTTATTATTCAGTATAAATACATATTGAGGACCAGATATAGATTGAC